GAGGAGAGAAAGACCGGCGAACACCTGGAGGAGAACCATGTTAAAGGAAATAGAAAGTTCTGGGAAATCCTGGGACCAAGTCAAACACTTAGCCCAAGACAGGGAACGCTGGAATGGTTTCCTGGAGGCCCTATGCTCCACTCAGGAGTAAAAGGAACATATACATATATATATATATATATATATAAATGTAAAATGATCATCGACTTTATAAAAATATATATAAATGTCTTACTTTAACTGGTGGTTTTCTTGTAAGATGAGATATTAAAAAATTCATTGCAATGTCTTCACAGTTCATGTATTCGTCAACTTTATCACGTATAGCCTGTGGTAACCAATGCGTGTATAGATATGTATAATGTTTGTGGATGAAAGCAGCTCCAGTTAAAACCATGGATAGTTCGCACGAATAATTAGAATTGTAATTCCAAGCGTTATGATAATTCTGGTCCCATGCATGAAAGCGACCAGGAAATCCAACTACACGATCTCGATGTTCCCTCCACACTCTGAAGACGTATGTATGATAAATAACAAAAGTTATATGGAATGAAAAGATTGTGAAAAGTCAGCTTACCTAAAACCAAACATGATTTCATCGTGTCTCAAATGAGCATCATCGTCAATAGAAAGGACAGCTTCTGTCTCAATTGCGTCAAATGGAAGGAATCTATTATTCAAACTATTTCTTGGAGCTTTTATAACCTGTTCAGATATATTTGAAAAGTAGTTTTAATGTGAAGTCTGTCTTTAAAAACAGTTGCAGATTTTATAGAATAATAAATTAAAATTACATGTATAGGAACGCCGATATCAGGCCACTTGAGATCTTCTACAGGTGGTTTCGGACTGTTCCACACTACAAGTACTTTGTTCAGATAAGGCAAGCCGTAAAGACGTGCCAGTGAATTTATAAGAACCTGTTCCCTCTCATAGGTTAACATGACAATTGTAAATTGTTCTCTTGGATAGTTTCCTCCTAATGACTCACTAAACTCTTTTCCAGCACCTCCAGCACCTTTACCGATGGGTCGAAAACCCACCTCTGAGCCTATAAAAGAATAAAACATAAGATTAAATATAACATAAGTCTCATGTAACAATAATCTCTGAAAAAATAACTTTACCAAGAAATTTGGCATCGCTGGGAAGAACAGTATCAAAAGGTAATTGCGGATATAAATTAAATGGATCCATCCAATCATTCCAAATTTCATGACCTTGGATTAATAGTATTGTATAATTTCTCTTAAAAGCAGGAGATGGGTATGGCGGTTCTAAAGGACCCAAACTTTCTTCAGCTTCAGGTTCAGAGATGATGGTATCCGATTTTAAAGGCTTTAAAATAAAAGGTAATATAAATTATAAAATTAATTTTGTTCTTTATATTAAAATATATACTACATACTTTAACATAAAAAGCATATCACATTAAAATACATACCACAAAACTTTCATTAAAAACACTAGGACTGGGTGTTTGAGGCGCTGGTAATGGAGGTATACCAAGTCTGTCTCTGACTACTGCTATGGTCGTATCCACTACACCTTGAGCAGTACTCATATAACGCTCCCACATTAATCTACCTTGTCTCCGCATAGTCAAAAGATCGTTGTCAGGAACAGCACGCAATAAAAAGTGCATTTCAGTCACTCTTGCCTAAAGTTACATTTTTGTTAGCTGTATTTCAATAGTGAAAAAGAAATTCGATAATTTGTTACTAGAAAAATTACTTTAGGTAGGAAAATGACTGCTCTCCTCCAAGCAATAACTTCGTTATAACTAAGCACAATCTGATCACCACCGAGAATAACTGGTATTGACCCAGCTCGTAATGCTTCGTACAATCTTGCTTGCATGAACGAAGTTGTCAATAATGTAGCATTACTGGGAGCTAAGATCAGTGCAAATGTTGATTCCTTTAATATAGCTCTTCTGGAAGAATCAGTTCCGCAAAGAGACCAGTCAAGAGTTTCCGCAGGCTTACTCTCCACAGAAGCCGGTATACATTCAAATTGAATGAAAAATTTGTCCAGAGTTATTCCGTTGCTCATATCTTTTAAATGTTGGATAATAAATGCGTCTATATTGTTATCATCGATTATTAATTTTTCCAGATCTACATCGGCGTCGTCAACTTGATATGTCATCGGCGTGCCTATAAAAGTTCTCATTTCTCCTTGGAATGACAGCAAATATTTTCTTCTCGCCGGTAACATTTGTGCGCATTCTTGCCAAACATCTCCGCCAGGTGGTCCCAGAATTGGTGGAACAATTAAATCAAAACCATCGCGAAATTGATTTCTATAAAACGTGGACTGTATTACTATTGCTCTGCCAATATCCAGATTACTGAAGATATTTCCAGAATCCGCAGATAAATCTCTACGTGCAAGATTTAGTAATATGTGATTTCTACCATCTCCACCCCAATAAGGAAGTGCGTGTAATTTTTTTATATCTAAAGGTTTATTATAACGTTGATCATTCTTTTGATGGAGGCTTAATGCTTCACCAACTAAGACTATGTAAACGCATGCCTCTGCTGGATTCCTAGTAAGATGTGGATTATATCCTACAATCAATACAACAAATTACCATAGAAAAATATCTCATAAAACAAAAACGTCTTTAATTGCAATATTATTTATTTTAATATGTAATAATATACTTTATTTATATATCTTTAATACATACCTAGTGTTTGTTTAATAGTCGTTTTTAAAAAACCATCCACATCCCACCCTGGATTAACTACCGAGAATTGATCTGGATCGTACAAGTATACGGGAAAGCCGCTTGTCAATGCACATCTGCTGTGATCGAAACAATCATGCATTCTGCATGATCGCGGATCTGTGCTGGGTAATGTAACTGGCAGGGTGTTAATTAATATTCTCTTAGGTGGTGCCAATTCAGGCATGTTTCTCTCCACCGCCTCTTTCTGCGCCACCTGTGCTTGCTCCACACTTATCTTTAATCTATCAAGATCCGTTTGCTGATGCAGCAACTCCTGCTTTAGCTCGTCTATCTTCTGCGTCAAGCTATTAACTTCGCCCTGAAGTCTTTGCCTCTTAGCGCTCAGGTCTCTCAACTCGTTACTCACCGAAATTTTTATGCGTAACATTTCCTCTATTCTCATCTTCAGCTGTGACGCTTTCATAGATGTGAAATCTTCAAAAGCTTCCAGGGTTGAAAACGTTCTATACATATCCCTATCTGGCGTGTCAGATTCTACCTGAAAGGGTATGATCTCAAAGTTAACACAAAGCGTAGATTAATAATTGTTAAAAGCTTGTATTTGCTTTCTTCTTTAATTATACCTTAGATAAATAATAATGCGTAAATAATGGCACGATAAATAAGACCACAGACGTCAAAATTATTATTCTCGACAACTTGATATGCGCCAACCATTGGCACATCTCCCTCCCAGCTCCATTGTACAACGGAAGTACTCCCTCGTAAGTATTCCCCACCATGTTTATACGGAATTACTACGTATCTTCATCTGTCTAACAAGTACTGAATACTTCCGTCTAGCATTTTCTCAGATTTCTGCAAGCGACATTACATAAACATTAGAGAGTAACTTCATGAAATGAAGTTCCACTTATAATTTCATTTTGCATCAAAACAAAACAGTTCTTTTTTCATCAAAGCAGAATTACTCGCAACACTTTAATCTAAGAGGAATAAACTATAAAAATACACAAATTACATGTATTACATTAATAATACCTGCCACACTAGAAACCGACATCGAGATTAAGACCAGGGATTTTATCAGAGCGTATCACAATGATGCCGTTGGTAATCTACGCGACCTCGCGGTCTCCTCCGTCTTTCCGTCAACCGGATCGAAAACATCACGAACCGGAGTAATCTTGACGAGGAGCACTTTCGACGGGGTCACATTCTACGTCGCCCGCGGTCGCGTCCACGCGTCGAGGTTAGCGCCGAAAGACGCGTTTCACTCGCACACGGTGTCCATCCGATATCTCATATCTCCGCTCTCGCGGGATCCAGCGTATCCGCCCGATCCTCCCAGCGCTCCTGAAATCTCAGCGCGCCGGAGTCGTGACTCGCGTAAAACGTGGCGAACCGCGTGCGTGCGGCTGTCCAGTACTCCACACTCCACTACTCGACTACTCCAGTGAGGTGTCCGAGAGTTTGTCTGTGCTGCGTGCCCTCGCCCCTCGACCCCCGCCTTTTTCGTCGGACCGTCGAAAGTCGAAAGCCCCTGTACACTACCGCCAGTACATCCATTTACAAAATTGGTACTACGCTGCCACGTTTATTTTCCGACACTGCCGATAAAACATTATTTTACGCGCTTTGTATTTCATCTCTGCAAATGTATAAGAAAATGCAAATTGAATAAGTCCAAAATGCATTTAATCTGACATTCTTTTTTGTCTTTTTAACATGGAAATTTCTCATACACAGCGTTCACTAACGTTAGATTCACTCAAATTACAAATTATATGAAAATTAGGTACAATTTTTCATGTTCTCAATTTCAAAATCAAAGTAATTATGTCTAATCTTAATTTTGAGGCGTAATATAATTTATATGCATTATAATATATTATAGAATGACATTTATGTAATAAAATAAAATAAATTATACATATATTGCAAATAATTTACAAAGTGCATTTAAATGACAATTGTCATAGGAAAAAAAGCAAATTTCGTAAGTAAAAAATATTAAGTAAATAATAAATTATTTATCTTATATTTCTCTACGGTCATCGTCTTTATGTAAAACCGTGTCCGCGACATTCAAAAAGACAATTGTATTCTTTTAGATCTATATTCCGCTCTCAGGTTTCTCTCTGCTGTAAATTTATATTAGCGAAGACTTGAATTCGATTTAGTGGAGACTCGAACCCGATTTAGCGGAGACTCGAACCCTATTGATGGAGATTTATCAATCGAGTGACAGCGACTCTCAGTAGCGACCTCAGCGACTCTGCGTCAACCTGTCCGAGGCCGTCGCCGACATGCGCATGTTCATGTCAAGCGTAGTGCGAGGGGAATAATATTTTGGCTTTCGGGGGCCTAAAATTAGCCGGAAAATGGTAAGCTTTTCGGGAAAAGCGCGATTGTACGCCAACAAAATTACGCTTGTGTCGCGTTATCGGTCGACCAGGTCCGTCCCCGCGTTCGGGACTTCCGCGTTTTCATCGTCGAGCTATCGGAATAACCTATCTCCGCGCTACCAACGTTAATGGTGTTTTCCACGCTGAACGTCAGCCTCGTCGTCCGGGACGACGCGAGAGGCGACGCGGGGCCTCGCTTTTCCCGCTTTAAAAATATGGTCACTTTAGAACACCGTCTGACGCGACGCGAGACTGTCGACGTACCGAAGCGTCCTTTGAATGACGCGAGCTGTAGTTTTTGCACATATAATGACTCTCGTTCGGAGAGCCAAAGTAATTGTTTAAATTAAGATTGTATAACATACTGTTAGTATATTTAATTATGACAGTGAGATTCAGACTCGTGTATTGGTGTCACTTACACTTTTACCGCTTTGATAGTTAAATAAATTTGTAAGATACAATATTACATACCACTTTGTTGCAGCATAAGTTAAAATTTTCACAAAGGGACAAAGTGAAAAAATTTATAACATTTACACAAACTGGGGAGCAAACTGCGATATATTGTTTAGCCCAAAATGATTGGAAACTGGATCTGGCAAGTGATAACTACTTTCAAAACCCAGAAGCTTATTACAAAGAACCGAAAAATTCGGTTGACAAAAAGAAACTAGAAATATTGTACAGCAAATACCAAGGTAAGATTGTCACAACGATATCAGTTGCAATATACATTACACGTTATTCATTTTAAATATTGTAAAAAATTATAAGCATTATCTGTCATAGATCCAAGTGAACCCAATAAAATTACGGCAGATGGCATCATGAAATTTCTTGATGACTTGAATCTAAGTCCTGAGAGTAAATTAGTTTTAATTATTGCGTGGAAATTTCGTGCCGAAACACAGTGTGAATTCACTAAAGACGAGTTTATGAATGGAATGATGGACTTGGGGTAAATATTAAATTTCCTTGAAATATGTCTACAAGAGAGATTATTAAAACTAACGTATCTTATATTTTTCATTACAAAACATGTAAATGTGACTATTTTCATACGTGTTATTTTCAGTGTGGATAGTATAGATAAGCTAAAAGCTCGGTTAGGTAGTTTAGAAAATGATTTAAGGGATCCTCTCAAATTCAAGGATTTTTATCATTTCACATTTAATTACGCAAAAAATGCGGGACAGAAAGGCTTAGATTTGGATATGGCGATCGCGTATTGGAACATTGTATTAGACGATAAATTTAAATTTCTTCAATTATGGTGTCAATTCTTACAGGTAAGCAAATTTCGGATATTATTGTTTTTAAAATTTATTTCTGGCAAGTTACTTTAAAATAATCAACTGATGTATTCTAGGAACATCACAAAAGATCAATTCCAAAAGACACGTGGAACTTACTGTTAGACTTTGCACTTATGATCAATTTGGACATGAGTAATTATGATGAAGAAGGTGCCTGGCCTGTATTAATTGATGATTTTGTAGAATGGGCACAACCTCGAGTTCGTCAGTCTCTCTAACGATTTTCTTCTTTTTGTAACATTCTCTCACACGTGATAATTTTATTTATTCATTTATAAAAGGTATATTTTTCAAGTTACTTTGTGAAATAATATTTTTTCCCCAATAACATAACATCGTTTTGCTTTTAAAAGTGATCATAGACAAATTGATGCACATAATATAACGAATCGTAGTATACACTATATAGCATCCTGTAATATGCATTTTCAACATTTTACAATATATCGCTTCGGTAGATATGATTTCATTTGCTAAAATATGCAAAAAAAGAAATGTGTTTTGAGTGTGCTTAAAAAAATTACAGAGTTATTTACTTATTTATTAAGTTCAATTTGTGTGAAATCTACTAACCAAATAGGATATACAAGATTATCACTTGTAAAGTAATTTAATTAGGACTTTTGATTTATCTTCGAAAAAAAAAATAAGCATTGCCTTGAAGTTGATCATATTGTACAAAGTAATATGATGTGTGGGATGTTTATTTACATGTGGGAATATAACAGAAAGTTGCTCAACCATACTACCATCGGTAGTATTTGCAAGCAATTGAAAAAAAAAGAAAGAATACTTCTCAACGTTCTTTTAAAGTAATGTATCGGAAGCAAAATTGGAAGAGAAATTAGTCGATACGTTCCTGTAGATAGTAATTTCTAGAAATTGCGTTGTTGAAAATTGTTATTAAATAAATTCTACGATACTCTATTACGCGACACTTAAAATGTACATAAAAGTATAAAGAGAAAGAAATCTGTATTTTAGACATTATACTATTTCGGCATCGTTCTATTAATTTTTTTTATATTCAATCAGGTTATAATGATGAACAAAAAAAGAGAAACTTATTTCTCGTATGTTAAAAAAGGATTATATATGATATATGAAACATTATATAAATATTGTTCTAGAAATCTAGAGAGATAGTATATAAATTTTTTTACGAACTTAATATAGATAATAATTTTTATTTTTGATTATATGGCACAACTTTGTTTATTAAAATTATCATATAAAGTCACATGTGAATATTGTCGTTACAGATTTGATTCTCTTAACAAGTTTGTCATAGGTATTTTGTATGTTAGACATTATCCCTTGTAACTACATACATGAAAATTTAGCAGCAATATATTCAGATTTTTATCTACACAAAGTGTATGAAGATTATAAAGACGTCATAATGTAAAAAATTATGTACTATCACCAATTGAAAAGATCGTTAGGAAATCAAAATATTGTAGCTATATATATATATATAATATATATATATATAATATTATAAAGCTATAAAGCAAAAACTTTCGAATAAAATTGTCTCGTCCACGCGTTTTTTGATTATATTTTATAAGTATAATGTGAAATATAGACGATGGAAGAAAATCTCAACCGATATAAAACACTATAAACTTATTGTAATATGTAGTTACATATCGCCAGGGATGTACGTTTACGCAATGCTAAACTCATTCACAGAGGAACGTACCATCATTCGAAATTTATGATTTTCGGATATATAAATTATTTCCTTAATAGTTTCAGCATTGTGTAGACAATAAATTGTTTTATCAGACTTAGAGGAGAAACAGGAAGTACATTGTACATAATGTAAATAAATATATCAGTCTTAATCTATTCAGTTTGTCTGTTTAAACAAACTGCTGAATAAATATACACCACATTTTTGTGTATATTATCTCTACATATGTGTTTAAATAAAAAGTTCTGCTAAAAGTGTACAATTATATTTTGCGTATTACTTATGTGTAAGTTAGAAAGATAATTATTTTATTTTGTAACTTTATAGTCGGTAAGAAATAAAATACGTTTTAGTATTTAGTTTCAAAAATTATTACAATTTACAAGATTTTTTACATTTGCATGAAATCCCATTATGGCCACTGCAATGTGCATCAGAGGAATATAAGAAAGCTAACTCGTATTTATTAGCTTGTGTATTGTAACAATTCTTTAATACATCCTGAATGTACCAGTTGCATAATGATTCCAATCTATCAATAGTCGTCTGCGTCATATATTTTTTCAGTTAGAAGAAATTAATATTCGTGTTCACATTTTGTCGTTTAGTACTCATTAAAGCATAGATCTCTCCAAATTTACTTACCTGAGCTATGACCAATCCATGATTTAAATTATTGACGGTATGACTGTGCGAATCGAACAAAGTGACCTGTGGATAAAACTTGGATCTTACTGTTATTTATACAGGATAATTATTAATTATATGTCAATAATTTAGAAAGTAAGTTTACAATTCAAAATAAAAAAAACGTGCTATATATGATGATTTATTTATGTGATGGACTTAAATATGGACATATAATTAAGAATCATCCTGTATAATTGAATTCGATTCTAGCTGACGTGCTTACCTTACTGGTATTCTCTTGAAATATAAACAATATAGTACGTCCGCATGTGATAAGCAGCATAAATAAAGTATGAAATTTCGGAACTTTATACCATTCATATAAAAATGTGTTTATATTTTTGTATAGGCTTGTTTCTATCTCCTCGTGAAAGATATTGAACTTCTATGACAAAGGTATTATATTATGTTATCTAAATGTAAAATATATACTATACTCAAAAGATTGTTCTATTTATTCAGATAGAAATGCAACTGGATGGGAAATCAGTAAGAATTTTTTTAACTGTGAATATTAATAAGAAAACACATAAAAATTTATATATTAGAATATGACTTATTTTAAATATTGCTATCGTACCCATTCTTTTAATATATTTAAACTCTTGCCCCCATGTTTTAAAGCATCTTCGGTATTCAAGTATGGATGTGATATAAGTCTTTTCTTAACAAGCCACGCATGAGTTGTATTACCCTCTATCATCGCCTCTGCCATAATAATATTCAATCTCGGACAATTTTCTATATCATAAATTGATAGATTTCCTCTTGATATTCGTACAGCCACAAGTAAACATATAAGTGTACAAGCTTCACTTACTGGGAGTTATTCAGTATACCAAAAAATCAGCATTATTGATACTTGGTGTATACAGATATTCTCAATATCGTTATAAATAACAAAGTATAATTACTTTTTTGTCCTGGTGGATAACGGCTTTGCGTAAATTCAGGATGATACCACAATATATCTACTTCATTATTAAAACACTCTTTCACATATGACGGGAAGTGATAGCTAAATAATGGTGGTAAAGTCATAATTACAAAAGTACCTCTTATTCCGTGTATTTCTCATTACTTATTAATTTTGTTACCAAATACATCTCTTTGTGATTCATATTTATGTCCTTTATAAAAAGGTTTGATATAGTATATATATATATAGATATATGTGTGTGTCAAGACATTTTGGATGCCAAAATTTTGTACGATAGTTTGGGTTACGATTCGTATATAAGATACTAAAGAAAAACAATTGTGGTGATGAAAAATAGCTACATTCAGCAGATGCAAATCAAGCAATTGAATCGATTGATTGAGAAAAATATAATTTATAATAGAGTATTTTTAAAATAATAATTGATATCTGAAAACAACTTGTTTAATGGTTTTGTTACGTAAATAGTTACGCAATGAGAAAAACAATACAATTTTCTTATCATATGGTACTTTAAGATCTGTTTTCCAAAAAATAACCCCATCTTACCTAATTATGAGAAAATGAATACAAAAAGAAAATTGTTATTTAATATTTATTATACTTTATAATAACACATTTTATTAATTGAATTTCTCTTTATAATGACATTCTTACTTAATTGCAGTGACAATTGACATATATCAATCAATTGATTGTTTCAAAACAATGATTTTTTTAAGTGATATAAATTTTATCATTATCTTTTATAAAAAAGCATTTTTTCTATGAATGATTATTTTAGCATTTAAAAGCAATGAATATATAAAATTCAATTTCCAATATGTACTCGCGTGCGAACGTGTATATGTTCCTTGATAATGTACTTTTTATTAGATATAAGATATAAAAGTATCTGTGTTAGACATGTAAATAATATATCACTTTACAATTATAAAATTAATAGTCTATTCAAGATTAGTCGTTATATACGTTGTATATGCCCAAGATGACACAAAATAGTGGAAATATATCTCATGGATATAAAAACAAAAGACATATTTATATATTTACATATATAATTTACTGTAAAAATAGAAATATAGTAGAAGTCAAATGAGATACATTGTATTGTAATAGAAAGTGATATTTCATGACACAATGTTGGTAAAAATTCAAATTTCAAAAAGGCATTGATAGCGTTCTTTGTAAAATACAATATCAAAAAATTGAGTTTTTAATTAAGTACTCATTCAAATTAAAGTCTTTAGTTTTTTTTAATAATATTAAGTATATTATAGTTTTCACAAATGAAATATTTTATCATTTATGTCACTTATATTTATCTTTTGTAAAATTTTAATCAAATTTTTTTTCTATTTTTACTTCCATTAAGCAAATCATATGCGTATATACGAATATGATTTGAAGTCAGTTTAGCACTGCAGTTAGTCTTCTAAATCATTAGTTTATTATGAATAAATTTGTGTTTTTCTAAACGTATATTACACCTGACTTTTATTTGACAAAAATGTCTCTTGTCTGTCACTGTTATTATTACAAAGATGTGTTGGAAAATCATTTTCATAAATCGTCTATATCATACTTTCACACATTGACCTCATAAAATCTGAAAGCAACATATAGTTTTTTGTATTATATAGGATACAGGATTGTGTAGCAATTAAATCCAATTATACTTTCTTCAACGTTTAATCAAACAAATAATCATGTAGATGTATTGTAAAGAGTGGGTGGAAGTAAAAAAACTATTTGTAATTTATCATATTTATTATCAAGTACTTTCTTTAATTTTAAATTAAAATAAACAATACTCACCGGTGATCAGAATGATCTATATGTAGTTGGGTAACGTGTTGGTATACTTGTGGTGAGAAAACGTGACCAATGGTCCCATCCCAGAAGTTTTGCAATTTCAATGCACTTTTCATCAATTTCTCTCAGTGGTTTTTCTTCATAATAGCGTGTCAATAATTTCAAGTAACGTCCATAGTGATTATTGATGTGCGCATGCCATAAAGATAAAATAATAACCTAGAGAAGAGAAATAGAAATAAAATCTTACTCATTATTTTATAGTATTTTACTTGTTAATTATCTATCGTTTATTTGAGTAAACATAATATATTTAATAAATAACATTATTGTTTACCTTATTATCAGTAGGTTCAGCGAATTTCTGTACTTCTTGCCAGTGATGTGTAACACTTTCAAGTAAATGTTCAAAAGATCCATCTCCCTCTCCAGTTTTTGTTCCATGTACATACAATCGCGCCAATGCACAACCTTTCTTCACTAATCCTTCAATCAAACTATTCTTTTGCTTTTCCATAGTTACTTTGATTTTAGCCGCATCAGGACGCTGATCGTTTTTCAATCCATAATATGCTAATAACTTATCTTGATCAATATTTGTGATCACAGAATCAGCAACTGTTATTATTTGATTAGCAAACACAATAGCGTTTTCTGAAAGATCGTTCTGCGGTATATGTCGTCGTGTTTCAGAAGAATCTAAAGATGTCAACATGGCTGTGTGGACAGGTAAATGATCTGAGAAGGCGCCTTTCAATTCTCCATATAGCGAATTGGTGTGATCACCAGGTTCTGTTATGACAAGAACATATTTCATTAATATTAATTCGTAAAAATTTTCAATTAAATGTACAATATATGAAAATAAATGTCACATATATTAAAGGCTACGTTTACATACATGTAGATATTTATGTTAGATTTGTTATATTATAATTATATGATAACAAATGTCAGAGT